GAAATTCGACATAATGTGCAAATTTTCTTAATTTTGTGCCTGAGCGTAGTATCATATCGTATAATCTACGCACACTCTTCTCACGCTTGCCTTACCTTCATGAACATTGTATCTGTAGGTTCTCTTTTGCGCTAATAGTTGAATATTTTAAATTGAAATAATGTGAAACATTAGCTTCAAATTATTTAAAGTGAATGTACTCAGTGTGACTTTTATTGGATGGTTATAACTAAATTGACAATACTATGTACAACCCGATCTGGTTGGCTTATTTCATTGAACCATGGTAATAGAAAATAATATTTCAAATTTGGATCTTAGATGACGCTTTCATGATCTTTAAAATGCAATAATAAACGCCATAATGTCATTCTTCACCAAGCCTTTAGTGAATAAAGATTAAGCTTTACTGGTCAAATTGTTTTATCAGAACTGCGATAGTAGTTTCATTGCATTAAGAGGATATCGACTTTCAAAAGGTGTATGGCTGAAAATGAAAAAGGATAATTCCTAAATTAAGGATATTCGGTTGTTGTGCGTGCTACCAGGAAGAGGCGAAAACAAATTTCAAATGAAACTGTGGAAGAAGTCGCTGTTGTTGTGGTTGACGGATTACCATGTTCCCAACATTCTTCGGCAAATGTATGAGCAGTGTTACGTGATTTATCTATTTCTTGGTCTAGTTTTAGGTCTCGCTGCCACTGCGAATCAGGTAGACGCACAACCAGGCTTAAACCCCAACACTACTCTCAAGGGCCAGAAATCGCCATGTGGGCACGGTTCTTATGAGCCAGAAGACAACACTCGTCTTCCAAATGCTCTCACCAGTACTACGCATGCTACCCTGCACTGGGGATTTATGCTGAGTGACTACCGTGGGCCAATCCGTGTACTGAACTTCAGGTATATGAACTTCCATCAACGAAACTCCTTTACGCTACTACTATAATAAGCTTTGAACATGTGATTGACGTAAAGGGTATTATATTAATATTGAATAAATCTTGTAATTAAATGAAATTTTATGTTTCAGTTTTCGTTTCTATATGGTCTGAATGGTAATTTTAATTATAACCACTTTGCACTTCAATAAAGAGGATCGTTTGCAAGTCCTCGGTTGCGTATTTATTGGAAGGAAGAAACCAATAAGTATTGAGTTTCGTCTTCTATTAGAGTTTCCTTCTATTACAGTGGTTTTTGCCTCATGCGCACCCTTTCACCAATACTAGAAGATAATTCCTCCCCTCCTTTCCAAACTCGAAAAATGCATACATACATTTATTCAGATTTAGATTATTCTTAATGTGTTTTATAAATTAAACAACAAAAAGTATAAAAAATACAGATAAAAACCAAAATAAAAAAAAAAAAGTACTTTTTAAATTCATAAACTAAAAATTAAATACTTAGCAACTACGCAAAAGGCTGACCCTTGATACTGTAAAATCCACCCCCTAGAGGGGAATTCACCCCTGGTTAAGAACCTTTCTTCCATTATAACGTTATTCAGCATCACTCCGAAGTCATCATCAACATTTTTATGATATACTATATAGTTTTAAATTTGCTTAGAAAGTTTAATGAAGGAAAATTCTATCAAATTTTAAGAATTACCGTTAAAATTGGACTCTTATTTACATAAAATAAACTTTAAAAACCTATCACAAAACAGGACTTGCCTGCTCATATCCTCAGCTGTTTAATTGAAACAGGGCATTATAAAATATAAAAAATTACAAATTAACATTAATTAGTAATCTTTTAATAATAAATGTTATAATATTTGAAAAATGATATTCGGAATATCAACCAGTATGTAATCCATAGTTAAAATATATTTTCCTGATCCATAGTTAATATTTTTCCGCAGAGTGCTTTTAAAATGCAAGTTGGAATTCGATATCGATTTATGAAACGAAAATAACATGTAAAATGAGGAAGATGTGTATTTAGTATTTTAAATGAAGACTATAGCGAGTCCTACGTTTGACAGATTGAAAGAAATGATGCACGAAACGTGAAAATTGGGGTCACTGCGATGGCAGACGGAAGTTTTCATTTGGTCGAAAATAGATAGTTAGGTGGGAATCAAAGAAGTTAAATCAATAGCTATCCAGTTGGCTTAGTCCAGAATACAAGAAAGGCTGAAACAAGGAGTTAAATGTCTGCAAAATTTGACATAAAAATCTTTTAAAAACAAACTCCACCCAAGTACGTATGTAATGTATGACGTAAGGAACATCCCTTATAAATTACATTTATCCTGCAGGTGTTCATATTAATCGAAGTTAGTTACAAATTGAATATATTTTACGTTATAGTAATTAAATGTATAAATATAAAAATGAAATTTAAAAAAATCTGAAAGGTTTCAGATCAATTCGCTGAGATTGCAGTCTACCAGTCTGCTATTGCACTCAGTTCTGCTAACCACCTTTTTTTTTTGGCCTATTTTTAGCTTTATTATTAAGAACCGTTTTCTTCGCACTCACGCCACATGCAATTCAACAACAAAATCACAAAAGTTTTAAAAGCTGCATATGTGTAGAATTCCTAAAGCAGTCTTAAGTGTTGGCATATATTTTTCTACTTTAAGTTTTTTTTTTTTTTTTTTTTTTCCAAATTTATCATATCAACGTCCAGGTTTCTTAGTAAGACGGTTGATAAAAAAATTTTTTTGTCTATTTTATTAACTTTTTATGTGTTAACTTTATTTATCAAATATCACGTTTTTTACACTTACGCCATATAAAATTCCATTCAGCAGCAAAATTACTAAATAATTAAAAACAACATATCTTTAGAATTTCTATAGATAGGCTTGCGTGCTGGTAATATTTTATTCCGTACAGTGTCGCCACTGCTCGCTTTCAGATCGTTAAGATTGTTAATCAAAAATTCATTAAAGTCTTACAAAATACGAAATAAATAATAAAAAAAATTTTAACGTCATTTTATGAAAATATTGAGTATTTTTAATTAGATAAATCGTGAATTAAATGTATTTTTATTAGAATAGAATAGAAACACGCCAATGTGACAATCAAAATCGCAATAACAACGTATTTACGTACTCGTATTTAACGTACATATATTAAAACACTCAATCGATTTCGATTGAAGTTAAAGGTCGCTCCTCATCATGAGAACGAAATTACTATGAAGGGGAAGAAAGAAGAAAAATGAAGCATCGGCAAAGGAGTCTCGGAAACACGTGGTCGTAACCGGATTTTGAATCAAAGTTACACTCGCCGCCTACTTTTACTGAGCCAGGCTATCTAATCAAACATATAACACATAGATACAACGCAAAAAATCAGTGAAGTCAAAAAATAGGGAGCGAGGGGCAACTGCACCTTCACGCACCAAGTCTGAACCTCGAATAAATCGATTCAGTTTGAAAGATATTTTACCGATTGGCAACAGACTCGAAACAAAAGTGAAAAGATGCCTTTTTAGTGATTCGACGCAAAACCCCATTTCAAGATGAATAGTCCCTTTTGGGCTAATGGAAATTTAAATTGGAATGTACTCATTAATTAAAAATGTGTTTTTTAAATTTATTAGCAAAATACTTAATTACTAGAGAACTTATAATTTTCCGACTGGCAATATTTTGAGCAATAACTATATGCATAGCCAAGTAGATGAATATATCTTATCCTTCCAGCAGTAGCAACAAATCTTCATGCAGTTAAATCGACTATTGAATAACTAATGTAAGGAAAGTAATGATACAAAATTTTAATATCATTCTATTAAAGATATTTATAATTTCAAAAGCAACTTGAGCTTGTGATTACTAGAATGAAAATGACACATCGTACCAATGCGTATAGCAACCAATGCGTAGATACAATAATCATCTTTAAGACTTATCTAGATACTAGAAAATCAGATAAAAATACAAGTTAAATAAAGCTCAAATTGCGCTCACACAACAGCTTAAACACTTTCTAGGTGGGATCTATCAATCCCGCTAATTTTCTGAATAAACAGCGGTCCTTTGAAAACTTCCTTAAGTCTATTAGGCGGGGGGGGGGAATCTTTGAGCACTCCAGAAAATAACCTAAAGCTACCGTAAAAAGAATACAAAATAAAAAATATAAATAAATAATAAAAAAAACACACACACACAAATAAAAAATAACCCCCCCCCACACAAAAAAAAAAAAAAAAAAAAAAAAACCATGAAATAGAGTGGCGTACGATAAAAACTGAAAGATTTGACAAATAGATGCCTTGCATAAACTAAAAATATTGTATGCAGTGGAGTTTCAGTTAACCAAAATTAGAAAGATCGTAAGTAACATAGGAAAACTGAGACACAGTTGATGGAGTTGATGGCTAAGTTGACGGCGAGTAGTTTAGTATAAGGAATAGAAACGTGGTAGGATACAGTGGAAGAAGACCATTAACATTTTTGTTACGTGAATCTTTCAAAATGTAAGCCGCTAATAATATTAATGATATACTTTCTATGTGTTTATGGTTGAAGATTTAAAAAAAGGGCAGACTGCTTAATTGTTTAGCCTCACTTATTTTTCTATCATACAGTTCTTTGGAAGTTCTTTCTGTCATACAGTGCATCAAAGCATTTCAGCAGACGTTGAAGCTACAATTATCTTTGAAAAAACCTTTAGGTTAAGGAAAACAAGCATTAATACAATCTTATTTCATTAATGGCTAATTTCATGTTTTACTTTGGCGTGTTTCTCTTCATTATTATAAATATTTCTTGAAACAGAAGTGGGGTAATGAGATCTTTAGTAAAGTTGGAGTATACATGTACCCTTAATAATAAATTAATGAATGGGTAAAAAGTAACTGTTTGATTTTGTACTCTAGAATGTTTCAAACATAAACATTAAATTATTGAACAAGTTAAAGAAAGGAAAAAGAAATGTAATTAGCTGTATGAAAAAATATTTGTTTCCATAACATGAAACATAAGCTATGAAATATAGAACGACGATCAGAGGCATAAAAAAGCATTTTACCTTTACGCAGAATAGAAGAGAAACGGGAAATGTGATGATGATGATGAGGTAGGAGAAACAAGTCAGAAGTAAAGCACAAAGACCAGGTCCTTCGTTTGAGTTCGCTGCAATAAAAGTAGAGAACAATTAAATAAATTAGACGATAGCCATTGCTTACATAACAGAAGTTTCTTTAATATAAATTTAATAGTTTGTTAGATCAAGATTATATTTTAAAACGTCTTCCATTACATGAGATTATATAAGGAGGTAATCTTTCAATAGTTCAGTCTTGTAATTAAGTACTAAAATTCTTTAATGTTTAGTGAATTTGACATGCGAATAACTTGCGAAGCATAACGAATATATACGGTTTGAAGAGAAAATAAATACTTTAAATTTGAAGAGAAAATAACATACTTTTATTTGACATAAGCTATTTTTAATTGATTGCTCTATGAACAAAATTTCGCAAATGAAGGCTTTTAAATTATAACGGTTTATTTGGGTAAGTGCTCAGTATGAAATATGAATTTATGAAAGTAAACGTGAACAAATATACTTAAATCTTTAATGAAGCGAACTTTAAAGCCAAAGAGTGAGAGTTTTTTTATAACCATTTTCCCGTAAATTCGATTTCAGTACATATTCGAAACTCCTCCTTCAGTCCATTTCATTTACAACTACTGCTATTCAACCTCATTCTATTACTTCATAGTCCAAGTACATTCCATCATTTCGATATATGTTTTCATGTCGTGTACATTTAAAGACATGTTTGGGGTTATTTTAGTACACTCATAAATTATAATTATTTTACTAGACTTTCGGGAGTGTTTCCTAGAATACATATAATTTCTTCAGCCTTGCGGTAGTGTACAAGAGAGTTTTCCTCAGAAAATTCTCAAGGAAGGCATTTCTACCTTTAGGCAGATAACGCTCTTCTGTTTTGCCATAATCAAATAAAAGCCTGCATCCATATAAAAGCGGCTTTGCCACTTTTATATGAATAAAGTTGTACCTTTATATGAATGAAGTGCCACTTTATATGGGCTTTCCCCCTTTTATAAGAATAATTCAAGAAATGCGGCTTTGGTACATTCTTTGTTCAGACTTTTTTACGCAAAAAACACATAGCATCAACAAAATTTCTATAATAATCCATGACATGTAACTACTATACTGCTAAAAATCATTAATGTATACGGTCAAATTTTTTTGCAGCCTCTAATCATGTTTATTATTGGTACTACAAATAATTCTCAAGCCCCCATGGCTCGACACTGCTTAGATGCAGTTTGTTGCGAATAGCCGAAACTATCTTTAAGTCATCTCATCACGGAGTAACATTGCCTACGGGGCATCACCAGAGATTATTGCGATATTACACCAGGGAAAAAGGGAAAAGAACACATGCTTGCAATCAAGCCTTACACGGAAGACAACCTACACCTTTTATCAAAAACCATTAATGGCACTGGAATGATACACGTATGACGAAAACTGCCGGCGTAAAACATGCTAAATAAAGAGTATTATAAAAACCAGTGACAACATTGAAAGGAGGTTCACTGACTCACTTTGCATAATTCACAACGACAGGCAGTAGAATAACCAATTACATAACATCATGTGCAAAGTACTGCTTTAAGCAGAATAGGAAGACTGTTCCTTCAGTCAGCTGTTCGAATATGCTAACAAAATGACACTTACAGGGAAACTAGATAAATTGATAAAGCTGTTTTATGTGAACAGGGAAAATGTTGCCGAAGCAGTGCAAGTTTATCGGTGAAATCATAAGTCGAGGCCAGTGTTCCTCAAAAATTGTACGTGATTTGGTACGTGATTTTTGTTTCTGTAATTCTGTTTATATAAAAATTATTAAAATTTTTTATGTAACAGAATAGTTTTACGTTATTTTATTTTGCGCATAAAATATTATAATTTACTTTATTTTATAGTAGTATAATTACTTTCTTAGTTTGGTAAGTGTTACGACACAAAAAGTGTATTTTAGACGAAAGTGAAAAATGCATTTTTACGATTAACATAGTGGCATTCCTGCCCACATAAATCAAAACGGCCATCTGGGTTGCCTCATTCAAAAATCCTTTTTACAAAACTTCAGATTCGCCCGTAATTTTTCATGCTTCGTTGTTTGGCTTAGTATCTTCATTTTTTTGCATTTATCTAATCACAATAATAAAGATTTCGGAAAGCTCAAAATTGTAGCTCACAATGTGCAAATCTGCTAGGATCTTTTATTAGAAAAAAAAAACATTTTAATACATTATAGAAAAAATATAAAATGTTATAAACTAAGATAAAACTTAAGTCGTTATATTTCTTCTACTGAGCAAATGTACATAGCAATTACAATGTTTACATGAAATATTAAGAATTTCATATAGCTTATGTTACATTATATGAATAATTCTAGGCTAGGCGACGTATATAATTGTAATTTCTGAGGATAATTACATAAATATTTAAGCTTCCTGCATTCATATAAAAAGTTAATCAGGTTTTAAGTAAAACTGGACAACTGATAGTGGTACTTTGCTTCAAACAAATAACAGTTTTGAATGGACAACAGGAAGAGGTACTTTACCGAGGCCCATAAACCGTTTTCAAATAACATATTGTTGCATTCAAATCAATATAATATATTGTTGCATTCATAAGCCGTAACACACATTGTTTCAACTAAACGAGTATTGGTTACTGATACTTAAATATCGTGGAAATATACGTAAAATTAAAAATGAATTTAGATTTGTTCACAGAAAAAAAAATTAAATTATGGTATTAGTTTCAAAGTATTTATTTTAAATATATTATAAACACTTAAATTTCTAAACCAGTTAAAATACATGTTATTTTAAATAATTTAAATTACATATTGTTACGAAATGTACAGGCGCCGTGAGATAGCTTTCCCGCAAAGCAGGTTTAGGGTTGCTTTAAAATAGCAAAAGAAGGCACGGTTGCATATTTGGCTAGAAATCGCCCATTTGGCGACAAAATTGGCGATATACCATGGACGGATTGAGAACCTTCTGGAAAGAATTCTTACCGGCTTAGCCCAGAATGTTCTCGAACTATATAAACCCTACTGGTCCGCAGTCAGAGTGTGCCTTGTTGAGAGGGCGAGTCAGTGTGTGCCTCGTCTAGCGAGCTGATAGGTAGTCATTGAGCGAGTGTCTCGAAGTCTAGCGCGGAGTTGGTCGTCGAGTGCATCGAGACAGCCTTTTAGTGTATCGCGAATTAGTGCATCGTCAAGTTTTGTCTTATAGACTGTGCTGAGTCGAGAGCTATACTCTTGTGTATCGTCGAGTGCATCGCGAGTTGTAGCGTGGAGAGTCTCGAAAGTACATGGAGTTCCGAGAACGACCAAGCAGAGTCGGAAGCTGTACTCTGATGCTTTGCAGTGAAGCTGTCTCCACCGTGATAGCCTGACAGTGTCAAGGCTGCGCCGTTGATTGTTCCAGCGAGTTTATAGTAGATCTTCAACAACTGTAAACATGTGTTTTCTAGCTGTCCTGATAATACCGGTAAATAAAGTGTGTTTCGATACTTCATCAAGTGCCGCCGTTATTCCCTCCAAATCTTCGAACCCCGTACGAACGTGAAGGAAGAAAATAACGTAACAATATTATTCAACTGCCCAATCAAACAAAATTTTAATAAAAGGTAAAGGGACAAACATTTGATTATATTCGTATAAATTTAAAAAAAAGGGTTTTTACATATGGCCAATTATATCCAATAAAATATAATCCAACATTTTGTATTATAGACCTTTCGATTTATTGAAACAAAAAATCATATTTTATTTATGAATGATCAGCTGGACATGATACTTTATTTAAAGCTTTTACTTAAAACACGGAATATGTAAATGACACTATAATTACCATAAATAAATGAATAAGTAAATAATCTGAAAGATTTCAGATTTTAACTGTCTCGAAAACGGGTTCGTTAAGGTTTTTACGCTCTGGCTGGGCTCACAGTATATCAATTTGCTATCGCAGTCACACTTGCTACCCAGTTTTTCTCTTTAGTCATATTAGCTTTATTATTAAAGCATCGTTTTCTTCGCACTTCCGCCACATGCAGTTCAAAAAAAAAAAAAATTAAAGCTGCATAGTAGCATATGTTTAGAAGTTCCAATGCAGTGTTAAGTGTCGGCATACATTTTTCTATTTTTTTCAGTCTTTTCTCAATTCATCATATCAACATTCAATTTTCTTAGTAAGATGAGTAACAAAAAATATTTTTATCTTTTTATTATTTAGTTGTTAAATATGTCGTTATTCGTATTTTTGCTACATAAAATACACTTCAATAACAAAATCACAAAATATCTAGCACTTTTTTTTACTAGCAATCTTACTTTTAAGCAAGAAGAAAGGAGATGAGGACTTTGGCGAACGCCGTTTCCTCCAGTCCATGAGGACACACAAAATATTAAAAAACAGCAAGTTCTTAAAATCCCGATAGATTGTTAGAGTTGCCATATGTATATTTACGTTTCCTATATTATTTCTTGAAAAAGCAGCCGCTCACGCGGCGGCGGCATAAATAGTTATCATAAAAAATATATAGTGATTTTAATGAGTCTAGCTAGCGTAATTCATAAAATATTGAAATTTGCTCATGACTTTAATTCATCTGTATTTAAATCAATCACATTAAAAAGTAGAAAAAATATTCTAATGAACTGTGTTTCTTGCTTTTAAATCGTTTAATTTAATACTCAGTAATCTTCTAGTCTAGATTAAAACTGAAAGTATTTGAGGCTTTACTAGATGGCAATTCGCTGGCGCCTAGACGCTAAAAATATTTTATTTGCGCCCACGGCAACACATTTCTTTCATAGATGATTAAATTGAAAGATAAATATCTTACATTTTTCCGAATGACGACGGTCTTGCGCACCGGACATAAAAATGTTTTGTTTCAAACAGTGTTGCCACTGCTCGCTATCAAATTTTTGAGTTCGTTAATCAAAAATTCATTAAACTTTTACAAAATATGAAATAATTGATAAAACAAATTCAAAATTCGAGCCTCGGAGAACTATGTTGTTTAAAATTTCACAATGCGTTCGTTTTTTCAC